ACACGCACTTATGAGACTTGACATCGAGTTTATCTCTATCCTCCAATTCTAGATGCATATATGCAATGCAACAAAAAATTCGTAAATGAGATAAATTTACCTCTTTGCCTGTCCAAGCCTCCTCTGACAATCCACAATTTAACGGAACTGAAAGGCCCCCCTATTGATCAAATATATAACGGTATTTACCGTATCAGCCCATAATTGCTTAGGTAACCTAACATCTATGCTCATGCTCCTTGCACACTCTAGGATCGTCTTGTTCATGCGCTCAACAACTCCATTATACCTTGGCTTCTTTGGGACTGTTTTCAACCTTCGAATCTCATTCATAGTACAGTAAGCCTCAAACATACTACTATAATACTCGCCACTATTATTTGATTTTAGGCCTTTTAATTTCATTCTTGTTTCATTTGAAAACATCAAACACATAAGATTTATACTTACGAAAATAAACCCATAATTTTCTAGTAGCGTCATCAATGAAAGTAATAAAATAATGTGAACCACCAACAAAAAATACCTTTGATGGATCCCACACGTCGGTATGAACAAGCTCTAACTTTTTCATTTTCAGAGTCCTTACCACTTTTGTAAAGCGACCTTTTCTGTTTCCTGAGAACATAATCCTCACAGAAATATAAATCTAATGACTTACAACCCAGAAATTTTCCCTTCGACAACATTACCTTCATCCTCTTTTCACTTATGTGACCTAGCCTACGATGCCTCGTAGTGCAATCAATTCCTGATTCTGTCACCATGGTGCTACAGTAAGTACCCGAAGATACATATAGAGTTCCTTCCTTTATACCACGAGTAAGAATCAAGGCTTTTTTACTCATCTTTCAAGCATCTGATGTAAACGATATGACTACTCCACTCTCTGACAACTGACTCACTGAAATAAGATTTCATGTTAGACTAGATACGTACCTAATATCCTTCAATTTCAGAACCGTCCCGTCTGTTTGAGTAATATTCACATTCTCTTTCCCAACTATATTGCAGGCTTCATCATTGCCCAAATAAAATTTACCAAAGTTTCCCTGCACATAGTTTTGTAGACATCTATGCATGGAGTAGTATGGAATGAAGTTCCAAAATCTACAATTTAGGATTCATTACGAGAATCCATCGAACAAATCAAAGTATCATTATCAGACTCGTCAGCAATATTAACAGTATTTTTACCTCTGACCATAGTTTCAGTGCACCCTTCTAACCACAGTTCCAGCAGCCCTCATCTCCGCCATGAGATTTACTTTTGCCTCTGTTTCTTGAATACGACTTTCCTTTGCCGTTTTTATTGCCTCCCTTATTCATAGATCTGCCCCTCTCCTCCGTATTGATTGCTGAACCTGAAACAATATCCTCACTCGATACTGTTCTCTGAGCCTCTTCTATTAATATCAATGCCACAACATTCTCCAATTTTATCTTTGTAGACCCGGAAGAATTGCTTACTGCTATGACAAGTCCATTCTAGCTTTCCGACAGACTTGATAAAAAGACAAGAGCTCTAATTTCATCATCAAAAATAATACTCACGGATTCTTATTGATTCGTGACCGTATTAAATTCGTTGATATGTTTAGTAACAATAGTATTTTTAGATATCTTTAGGTTAAACAACTTTTTTATAAGATATACCTTCTTCATTGCTGAAGGCTTTTTGTACATCTTTTTTAGGGTTTTGAACAAATCTGATATAATTTTTTTTTGGCGATGTTCGACGCAATTGACGGCGTGAGGGACAGTTGCACAGTCCCTAGGGCTTTGCGATCTAGAACATCCCACTTTGCTTGCTCCATATCCGTTGGCTTCGTGCCATCGATAGGTTGATACAGATCCTCCATCTGGATCTTCTAGAATGCGTAGTTCGTGCCATTGAATTTCTCGATCTTGACTTTGTCTTCATCTATTGTGTAAACTCTTGACCTCTTAACCCGAAGCTCTGATACCAGTTGTTAGGGAATTTGCACGAAATAGAGAAAATACAGACCAAAAAAAAAAATCACACGCAAGATAGTATTTACGTGGTTCAACAATTTGCCTACGTCCACGAAACTACATGNCTAAGACATTTCTGTTAGGGATCCCCTCAAACTCTACAAAAGTCTAATTTGATCTCAGCCTCCTTGGGTTGCCTTAGTTTGTTTCTATACAAAACTGATTCATTAACTACCACATAAATACTCCTGTGTGTTTTTTGATTCTCAAAATCANAACAATTTGCCTACGTCCACGAAACTACATGAAATTCACTATTGAGAAAGAAGAATACAAAGGGCGGCTGTACAATACAAATCAAATTCTAATCACCAAAATAACAGGTTTTATATGTCCTGTGCACCAGGCTACAAAACAGGCCCAAAATTTTCCATTAAAAACTATACAACATTATTTTAGGTCAGGTCATCATTCAAATCAACGCAAAACTAGACTCCACAAAAAACCCAACAGTAAATCTACTTTTTGCCTCTTATAGTACCTTACAACTTGGATGTCAAATAGTGTCGTCAATGTAATTTATCTCTCNGAACTGAAAGGCCCCCCTATTGATCAAATATATAACGGTATTTACCGTATCAGCCCAGAATTGCTTAGGTAACCTAACATCTATGCTCATGCTCCTTGCACACTCTTGGATCGTCTTGTTCATGCGCTCAACAACTCCATTATACCTTGGCTTCTTTGGGACTGTTTTCAACCTTCGAATCTCATTCATAGTACAGTAAGCCTCAAACATACTACTATAATACTCGCCACTATTATTTGATTTTAGGCCTTTTAATTTCATTCTTGTTTCATTTGAAAACATCAAACACATAAGATTTATACTTATGAAAATAAACCCATAATTTTCTAGTAGCGTCATCAATGAAAGTAATAAAATAATGTGAACCACCAACAAAAAATACCTTTGATGGATCCCACACGTCGGTATGAACAAGCTCTAACTTTTTCATTTTCAGAGTCCTTACCACTTTTGTAAAACGACCTTTTCTGTTTCCTGAGAACATAATCCTCACAGAAATATAAATCTAATGACTTACAACCTAGAAATTTCCCCTTCGACAACATTACCTTCATCCTCTTTTCACTTATGTGACCTAGCCTACGATGTCTCGTAGTGCAATCAATTCCAGATTCTGTCACCATGATGCTACAGTAAGTACCCGAAGATACATATAGAGTTCATTCCTTTATACCATGAGTAAGAATCAAGGCCTTTTTACTCATCTTTCAAGCATCTGATGTAAACGATATGACTACTCCACCCTCTGACAATTGACCCACTGAAATAAGATTTCATGTTAGACTAGATACGTGCCTAATATCCTTCAATTTCAGAACCGTCCCGTCTGTCTGAGTAATATTCACATCCTTTTTCCCAACTATATTGCAGGCTTCATCATTGCCCAAATAAAATTTACCAAAGTTTCCCTACACATAGTTTTGTAGACATCTATGCATGGAGTAGTATGGAATGAAGTTCCAAAATCTACAATTTAGGATTCATTACGAGAATCCAGCGAACAAATCAAAGTATCATTATCAGACTCGTCAGCAATATTAACAGTATTTTTACCTCTGACCATAGTTTCAGTGCACCTTCTAACCACAGTTCCAGCAGCCCTCATATCTGCCATGAGATTTACTTTTGCCTCTGTTTCTTGAATACGACTTTTTTTTGCCATTTTTATTGCCTTCCTTATTCATAGACCTGCCCCTCTCCTCCGTATTGATTGTTGAACCTTAAACAATATCCTCACTCGATACTGTTCTCTGAGCCTCTTCTATTAATATCAATGCCACAACATTCTCCAATTTTATCTTTGTAGACCCGGAAGAATTGCTTACTGCTATGACAAGTCCATTCTAGCTTTCCGACAGACTTGATAAAAAGACAAGAGCTCTAATTTCATCATCAAAAATAATACTCACGGATTCTTATTGATTCGTGACCGTATTAAATTCGTTGATATGTTTAGTAACAATAGTATTTTTAGATATCTTTAGGTTAAACAACTTTTTTATAAGATATACCTTCTTCATTGCTGAAGGCTTTTTGTACATCTTTTTTAGGGTTTTGAACAAATCTGATATAATTTTTTTTTGGCGATGTTCGACGCAATTGACGGCGTGAGGGACAGTTGCACAGTCCCTAGGGCTTTGCGATCTAGAACATCCCACTTTGCTTGCTCCATATCCGTTGGCTTCGTGCCATCGATAGGTTGATACAGATCCTCCATCTGGATCTTCTAGAATGCGTAGTTCGTGCCATTGAATTTCTCGATCTTGACTTTGTCTTCATCTATTGTGTAAACTCTTGACCTCTTAACCCGAAGCTCTGATACCAGTTGTTAGGGAATTTGCACGAAATAGAGAAAATACAGACCAAAAAAAAAAATCACACGCAAGATAGTATTTACGTGGTTCAACAATTTGCCTACGTCCACGAAACTACATGAAATTCACTATTGAGAAAGAAGAATACAAAGGGCGGCTGTACAATACAAATCAAATTCTAATCACCAAAATAACAGGTTTTATATGTCCTGTGCACCAGGCTACAAAACAGGCCCAAAATTTTCCATTAAAAACTATACAACATTATTTTAGGTCAGGTCATCATTCAAATCAACGCAAAACTAGACTCCACAAAAAACCCAACAGTAAATCTACTTTTTGCCTCTTATAGTACCTTACAACTTGGATGTCAAATAGTGTCGTCAATGTAATTTATCTCTCAATCTGAAATTGTATGAATCTTCAAAAAATTAGATGATTTTTGGTGTTGCCATCATCTACAATAAGTGGATTAGATGATTAAAGATGTCGGGTTACTCTCAGGTCATGACTTGATTAATTAAACCAATTAGAATAGAGTTGATTTATCTTCAACATGACTTGAACACAGCACGACACAAGTTGATTGATACCATAGCTTTGGATTACTAAAAAGAAACAAACACAATATAGCATCAACAATTTTTTCTTCAAACACTTGCTTGCCTGGTACACTGTAAACCAACTCTTGGCTTCTTGAGGTGATTTCTCACTACAATGGTTACAAGTGGTATTAAGATTGGCATCACAACGGAAAGTATAGTAAAAAGGAAGGACATCCCAGTGTTGGGTGTCATTGCAGTCATGGAAGTATCATAAGTTACTGTAAGTGCAAGAAGTGACACTTTCAGTTCCAATTGCATTGGGAATCCTGCTGTGAGAAAATATAGCATGTGAAGAGACATGAAAAATCCCATTGAGTTTGAAACTAGGAACAAACAGTATGCGACTGAATTGTGGGAGGCCATCACTGATTTCCCAGCAGTATGTGGTGTGGTGCCATTGTTGTCATCCTGCCATACACCTCCTGGAGGACTAAGCACAGCTTGATACGTTGCAGTCGCGATGAGTATGACTATCACGAGCAGGGTGTTTCGGGTTTTGCTTGGTGACTCTTTAATCTTATCGTATTTGAAGTAATCGATCAATTGTCTAGCTGGAGATTGTGCTTGCTCTGTTCTTGATTGTTGATTTGACGAGTTATGAGGTGTTACAACCCAATTTTGAGACACTACTGCCTGTGCCAGGGAGCGCAAATCTTCAGATCTTCTGGCTGTGGCTTGCCTAAGAATTTCCTCGATTTCTCTATCACCCTCTTCCAATAATAGAACATCAAGAGGCGTGAGACCACTATTGTTCAAGGAATTCACCTCCACCGTGCCTCTGCTAACAACTTGTTCATTGAGAACCATATCAAACACCTGTAGGAATTTTTATTTCTGGTGAGAAAACAAACCAAATAGATCCCTAGAAGACACGCACAAGGGGGTAATACTTGCCTCGTATTGTTTTGTCAAGGCTGCAAGGTGCAAGATGGTGTTGCCTTGATTGTCTTTATGATTTATGATGTCCTCCACGTTGATTTGCTTTAGGTGTTCGACAAAAACCTCAAAGACTTCAAATTTGTTGTTCTTCACTGCAAGGTGAAGAGAATTCTCGCCTCGAGCTGTCACAGCTGCAATACTTTCTGCAGCAGCAGAAAGCAGTTCTTTTATTACTTCAACTCTACCTTTGATTGCTGCATAGTGAAGAGGAATTCTCCTCTCTCTTCCCTTGAGTAGGCACAGATTATGATCTAATCTCAAAAGTTCCCTGACAATCTCTAGATCTCCATTAGCCGAGGCAATATGCAAGGGGCTAAGACCATCTTGGTTCAGTTCTGTAGCGAATTCTTGCCTCAAATTTATGATCTCTTTGGCAAAATCAAGGTGGCCAGCCATGGAAGCAAGGTGTAATGGAGTCTCTCCACCTGCCAATGCAACAGTCCTGAGCACAAGGGGATGCTCTTTAACCAAGCAAAGCAAGTAATCAATATCTCCTCTCTGAGCAGCCTCAATCAGCCTTCTATCCATGTTTTTAGAGAACCTTGCAACCTTTGAATTAATAGACCTTTTGGATGTTGAAATCAAAACAAGAACCAAGTATGCAATAATAATAGGAACTCACCCAAAAGGATGGTCAACGAGATGCCTAGATCTCCCTGCAAACTTTCGATGGAAAACTCAACACGAGCCAAAGTGGAATGTTACACCATATATTTGTTCATGGAGCATCGGTTGGATGTTCAAGAAGCAGCAGTTGGCAAGATGATGATGATGATTGCCAGATGCCAAGAACCTACAAGGTCAAATTTTTGCTACAATATAAAGATATATTCTTGTGTTGGACTTGACTAAAAAATAATTTTTCAATACCTTAATTTCCATACCATACCTCTGACTTTTTTTATTTTAATGAGTGTTTTTATAATTTTTGTGGGTCATTTTACAATGAAAAAATTTGTTACTTTTTACTATCAAAGAGTGATAAAAAAAAATTGTAAATATTTTACCACTTTTGTAAGTGTTTTTACCACATTTTGTGATAAATTTTTATCACTTTTCTTTGGTACAAATTTTTTTTATTATATTTGTAAATATTTTTACTATTGTTGTGATAATAATTTTTTTATTTTTTTAGATACTACAAGAATGATAAAAAGATTCACAAATATAATAAAAATAATCATAAATATGATAAATAGAAGTATAGTAGCCAAAATTTACGATAATTTTCGATATCATAGTCAAATTTTTTTTTGTAGGTGGGACTTGGGTTGGGAGTCAATGATACAATTCTCAGTCTATATAATTATGTAAACCATACAGTGTGAACTGGGATAAGACCTTAGTTAGCTTAGTTTAGGCTGCTTTGACCTAGTCGACACACGGATACTCCTTTGACCAAGTCCTTTCCCCACGCCCCTCGCTCTAGTAATTCCCCGCTGCACTTTTGGTTTTGTTTTTTTGAATTTTTTGCTAGTTTGTAATGACATTATGTGTACATTGTATTTATTCTCGCCGATTGTATTTAGGAGTGTTTAAATTTCTGTCTACTCAAATTATTCCAACCTTATCCGACTCTCGACTATTTGATGTTTGCAAATTTTCAGCTGGCTTAGAGAATAAATCGTAATATTTTGTAAATGATTGGATAAAAATGCGGAATAACCATAAAAATTTCGCATTTTTAACCGACCTTCATGTATATTTAAATTTAATATATATATATATATATATATATATATGTATTTGTGTTAGTTGGTTTATTGTTCTCTTTAATGTTATTGATTTATTGTATTAGTTTACATATTATTATATTATATTTTAACAGCCTAATTATAAAAGTAGCCCCAAAATCACTTAATTGATTTGTTAAGATAATTCAAAAATTAATAACTAAAAAATTACAAATATGTGATATATTCTGCAACTCTACCCGAATTCCAACCCGATTTTTTTGGATGAAATTCGAACGAAATATTATCCTCCATCAGGAAGGTTCGGTCAAGAATTTTGCTTTCTACAACGCATTAACTCAGAAGATGAAATATAATATTTCCTACCTATCGACTCGGGTGAACATCCCTAATTGTATTATGCTCTTTTGGTAATAAAATCATAGTTGCTAAAAATAAAATTTTAACATTGACATATGTCATGGAGTCATGATTTGAACAATTCTTCCTTATTAAATCTTGCATAGGATTCTAAATTCATACCGGGAGCCATGTGCAAGCCTAGATACAAAGGCCCTTATTAGTTACTAAGGATCATAAAATTACAATTGGGCAAATGACATGAAACTCCTCTAAAATGGCAGCCTAGGAAACTCCTCTTTGCACGATCTGGGGCAATAAGATATGTGTAATCTTATCGAGAGATTGTTTTCACGACTCGAATCCATGACGTCCAGGTGCCAACGCTGGCGCTCCTAGTTCTGTTGTCAAGACAATCATCATGGGGTGTTGCTGGTTACTGGAAGTTTGTCTCCACGCTTCCAACATTTTCTTGCCCATCTTAGCAGCCTCCGATGAAGAAATGTTATAAAGAAGGCACCTCCCACAGTGGCAATCAGGTAGCCTCCTCTTGCGATACTGACAATTGCAAATCCATAGGCAAACATAAAAGAAACCATAGAAATTAGGAGCTCCCTTTGAAAAGGAAATCCAACAGTGAGATATGTTATTATGCTGAGTGCTGCAGTAAGCCCCAAGGTGTTTGCAAACACAAAGAAAAATGTAACCCAACTACCGGTCAAAACAGCAGTACTTGATTGCAGGATGCCATTTGGAGGGTTCACGCCCGCTTGAAAGGTGACGGTGGCAATCAGTGCAGCCACTACTAGAAGTGCATTACGAGCGTCACTTGGTGAATCTCTTTCCTTTTCGAACTTTAAGAATTTGAACCAATCCTTGGAGGGTTTTGATTGAATATCATTGTGGGCTTGTTCAGGTTCTGCAGCCTGTTGTGTTATGGAGACAGGATTAACATGTTGAGCACCATGTGCACTTGCTCGTTGAAGGATTTCTTTCAGGTAGAGATCTTTGGGACTTTCCATGACCATATCCAGCAGATCCATTGCTGTCAAACCCCTCGAATTCATCACATTCACTTCCAGTATCCCACTGATAGTATTGTTGCTATTAAGCAGTAGTTTTATGGTCTGCAATAGAGAAATAGATGCAACATGTTACCCTGCAGGCACATATTATTGCCATTCCATGAAATAACAACCAAGACGTCCTCATAAAAATACAGTCTGTCAATATTATTCTGCAGGCACAGCTTTTTGTGAGAAGTATTGAGACTCAAAAAACTAGTGATAATAGAATATAAGTTAACATTAGTTGAAATTGGAGATCCTTTCAGCATTAATTTTAAATTCATTTGAGGGAAATCATTTCCTTTCCAATAAAAATCATGGTAAACGTCACAGTGATCGATCACTTATGTAGTCTTTTCCATACAAACTTCTTAACATATCATGGCCCATAATTTTAGAAGCACAAATACAAAGAAAAGAATATTTTTTGAGTAAAGTAAAATAAGCCAAAAATCCACAGAAAAGGTAACTAGTATGTAACCAGAAGAGAGGAAGAAATCCTGCCTTACAGATTTCAGCTTGCCAGGCCTCATAATTGTAAAAAATCAACAAAGCATAAAAGGAAGATTGGAAAGGGAATCAAGGAAGGTTGACTGATTCGAACTTACATCTACTTGCTTTCTGAAGGCTGCAAGGATTAAAACTGTGTTTCCATTGAAATCCACCCAGTTTATGATGGTCTCCATATGTAGCCTTTCAAGCCACTTAACCAAAACTAGAAAGGCATCAAATTGGCTGGTTTCCACTGCAAGATGAAGGGCAGTCTCCTCGTGGATCGTGACATATTGAATCAACTCCGGGCAAGTGGAGAGCAATTCATCTATCACTTCAATTCTTCCCTTCATAGCAGCATAGTGAAGAGCTGTTCTTTGGTCTTTGCCTTTCAGAAGACAAATTTCATGATCATTTCTTGCAAGTTCCTTCACCAACTCCACATCCCCCATCATCGAAGCTATGTCCAGAGGCCGGAATCCATCTTGACTCAATTCTTTGACTTGCTCATGATCATTTTTTATAAGCTCGTGTACAAAATCAAGCTGCCCAGCTTTGGTTGCAATGTGTAGAAGAGACTCTCTTGGAGATGTTATTGCAACATCAGTAAGAATAAGTGGATTTTCATCAAGCAATTTGTTGAGAACCTCAACATTTCCTAGACAAGCAGCTTCAAACAGTTGTTTACTGTCCATTTTTTGGCCTTTTAGTTTCTCAAAGAAGCTTAGACCTGACAATAAATCATTTGACTCCTTTATAATGATTCCTAACTATCCTTCATTGGGTGATTAATTCTCCAGTTATCCTTGTTTTTGCCATTTTACTTTAATTTTCCTTATCTTAACATTGATCAAAGTTTCTTATTTGTCTTTTAGTCGTTATCACTTTTTGCCTCCATCAAGTTTTTTAAAGTAGTCTCCCCTATCTTAAAGTTTCATATTTATATTTATTAGTTTTTGGCCTGCATCATTGAGTTGTCACTTTTTTGGTTGATTGAGCCAATCTCTTGCCCAAATTTTCATTTTATTTCATTTTATTTATCTTTTTGTCACTTTATCCTTATGCGCAAACGAAAGTGAAGTGATTTGAACATAGTTTTGTACAATCTATGATGTGATGAATTTTTTGTTCTTGTTGGTTGCACAAACCAGTCTCTATTGTGATGAATTTTTTGTTCTTCTTGGTTGCACAAACCAGTCTATGCTGTGATGAATTCATCAAATATGATGAAGTTTTTGATCTTCTTGGTTGCGTAGGTGTTTCTGCTAGAATGCTACCCATTCAT